ATTACTTAAATAAATTCTTTAGCAATAAGTTAGTGTGGAGGTGCAGGTTTTATTGTCATTTTTATTTCATAATTGTATTATCATTTTTTCTTCGATGATATAAGTTGACTAATAAAACCGTCGACGCAGCAAAGTCTATATTAATTTACTAAAATTTAAGACAATTAAAAAAAGTTAATTCCAATAAAGTTAATTTAAAAAGTCGATCCAATTTAAGTTAAGTTCTGAATAAAAGCAGTCGAGTATGCATTCATTAACTGACGGTTTATGATTTAAGCTAGACACATTTTTAATAAATAGTTTTTCTAGATTCAAAACTTTAAAAAAAAAATGAAATGTTGCGTTTCAAAATTGAATACCTTCTTCCCCTGTAACAAACGTCACAAAATACTAACTTCCCCCCTTATCTTGTGACGTAATTTGTGGACGACACCTTAAGAAGTATTATTAACTATAACTAAATATTATTTACAGTTGATTAACTTAAATTAAATATTAATTATACTGATAACATCAAATTGTTAAAGATAAGTAATATAACTAACTTAAATTATATGTAATTAGCTCTAAACAGTATAGATATTTTTCATTTGTAATAGTGTCTGAGGCGCAAGATGGTATATTTTGGAGCTCGGATAAAAAACAAAAACTAAAAAACAAAAACATAGAAGAAAAATTTGCAATGGAAATACGCCATTTTAAAGGTAAGTTGATAATCTCACTTTAGTTGCGTTAATTTTTTTTTTTTTTGCTTCTCTATTTATTAAATTGTGTGTTTTTATTGTTTGGAAAATTGGATAAAAGCTTATGATTTAGCAGCTGCTAAACCGTAAGTTTTTAAACCGTAAGTTTTTGTCATAAACCGTAAGTTTTTGTCATAAGCCGTAAGTTTTTGTCATAAACCGTAAGTTTTTGTCATAATTCTTTATAAAAGTAGTTTTCATGAATTTACGGTCTTTAAACTCTGCGCGGAACTTAAATACCGTAAGTTCATAAATAGAGATTAATTTTAAATTAAATAACTTATTTTTATACTTGACGGTATTTGAGCTGCTCTGTGATGGGATCGTAAAGGGGCACCTAAAATAATTAATTAAAAAAAAAAAAAGAAACTAATTTTATCAATTTTAAAATGTTTTAGACGTTAAGCCATTAGAAAATTTAGTTATTAAAGCTGTCGATGAAGCCATCGAAGAACTAATGTCAGATAATTGGTGAGAATGCTGTTTTGTTTTGAGTAATTAATAATGTAAACAAATGTAATTTAACGGTATTAGTGCTAAGAATATCATTGCTAGACACCATATATACATATAAATATAAATATATATATATATATATATATATATATATATATATATATATATATATATATATATATATATATATATATATATGTATATATATATATATATATATATATATATATATATATATATATATATATATATATATATATATATATATATAAATATATATATATATATATATATATATATATATATATATATATATATATATATATATATATATATATATATATATATATATATATATATGTATAAAAGAATATATACAATTAATAAAACTTATTTTACTTTTAGAAACATTCCACATGAGTTGATTGAAGCTGTTATCTGACATTTATTCTGAACTTAGCAAATTTATATATTAGATAATATTCTTACTGTTTTGAAATACGCATGTAATTAATTGTATCAAAATTAGTATCAATATAGCAATTGTTGTATTAATATTTACAAAAAAATATATTTTTTATACAACCAAATGCGTTAATTAGGAATGTAGTTTGTAAAAAAGTAAATATTTTCCTCTTTTAAAGCTAGCTTTTAAAGCTTCATAACAATACTTAAAACATTTAACTAACAAACAGTTTTTTTTTAAAAATTTGTTTAAATTTTGTTTTTATAATGTCATTTTATTTTAAATTTTTCCTAAAATATCGCTTCTTTTAACACCCAAAATGGGTGTGGCGGAATAGTGTCGCAAAATTTTGATTGTTGCAAGTTTTTTATGTCGCAAATTTGATTGTCAAAATTGTAAAAAAGGAATAATGTCGCAAATTTTCGCATTATTAATTGTCAAATAACAGAATAAGGCCGCTATGAATTGCAAAGTTGTTTCCCGTCCTAAAAATAAACTGTAAAGCATGCGGGCGGGCGGCAAATTCCCATTATCCATTATTCCATTTTTTTTTTTTTTTAATAATTATGTAAAACCGTAAGAACCGTAATTTTTCTGACCGGTGCCTATGAAAAATGCCCCCCTCCGCCATAATTTTAACCTGCCGAAAAATATATACCGGTAAATTTTAGAATAAATTAGAGATGGGCCAATTCCGATTCTCAAGGAATCGTAAGAATTGCGTTTCTCTACATTGTTTAACGATTCCGATTCTTTTATTAAAAAAAAAAAGGGGGGGGGGTATGTAAGTACTTTGTAAATAATGGGGATGGATAGAAGTACTTTTTAAATAGTACAATGTCAGACGAAAGTACAGCACACTTAAAATAACCTCTGCTCGCGAATCACGATGGTGTATTTGAATACTGGAGGAAATCCAAGTTTCTTTATATGAAAAGACAACACAGTAACATTTAGAGAGGCCTCTATAAACAGTGTTTTTGGAGTGGTTATTTAGTATTGCGTGGCTTATCTGCGACCGGAAAAAATCATTTTAACTCCCCAACGAGTGCAAATACTTGTGTTACTGAACAGGAACCTGTCCTTCTTAAAAGTATTTTATTTATATTACATAAATCAGTATACTGACTACTATTATTAATAAACTGAAAAGGTTTTTCAGCAATATAACTGATTTGTTTTCACCTTTAATGTCGTTAATTTAAATGCGTTAGTGTTTATCAAACAATGCATTCAGGGCCGGTGATAGGGGGTGCATAGACTATAGGGAGATAAGTGGGTACCTCCCCACCTCCTCTCTTCAAAATAATTGCGCCGGCTCTGATTAAATTTTTTTAATTGCATTATTAGTTAATTAAAATAATAAAGAATCGGAATCGGTAAGAATCGGAATCGCAATATATTGTGATTCCGATTCTTTATATAATGAATCGGAATCGGCCCATCTCTAGAATAAATATTCCGCGGGGATATAATATTTCTTATCCACTCATTTAATTCGGCAATATTTAAAAAACCTTGTGTATGCCATTACTTATCTTGATTATATTCATGATGAAGATTCCTTAGAAATATATAGCCGATAGGGTTTTTATAATATAAACCAAATATTAAATACTACCTTATACTATTTATACTCATTATATATACATATATATTTAACCATAGTCATAAGAATGCTTTCTTATAACTATGATTTAACAGAGCACGTTGTTTGAACGATTGAACAAAAACAATTTTTTTAGGAGGAAGGGGGGGGGGAGCCCCCCTAAAAACTTCTTGTTAAATGGCTGTAGAAATTAGCATTAAGTTTTAATAAAATTGTGTGGTGCATATTTTAAACTGTGTTATAACAATATAAAAGTTTTTCTAGATCTCTAAAATCTTATATAGGATACATTTGAAACGTCTTCCTCACTCTTCTCAACATAAAAAGTAATAAAGAAATGAAAGTATTTAAAAATATTTTCTATAAAATAAAATATGATTATAGTGTAAATAACTAATACTGTAATACAATGCTCCCAGAAAACATGTTTGCAATATTTACATTTTATTACATTATTGCTTCTTTTTAGTTCTGCGAGGAATATTTGGCTGAGAATAGCACTCTTCACATTGAGGAAAATGTTCTTGTTTTTGTGTTGCTATTGGTAGGTCTGCTGAACAATAAACACAAATGTCAACATAGTCGGCTGAGTAATACAAAGGTTCAACTGGTTCACCACAATTCATTGATCGAACAAATACCACATCTTGCAAACCCTCAGGCAACTCTGCATCTTGCAGTAAGGAGCCACAAGAAAAACACAGCCCATCTAGAGCACATTCAAGCAGCTGCCTCTCATCTGTTTTAAGTTTTCTTGAAGCATAGGTAACTCTCCACATACCACACTCATCACAACACAGCATCATGCCACTATTTTTGGCATGTTGTACACTAGCATAGAAAGGAAGAGAACTGCCTTTAGCTTTCTTGAGTGAAGGTCTATCATTTTCAGAAGTTTCCGTTCCATGGACATCCTCAAAAGATTTGAAATGACCATCATCTTTTATCAGAGGGTCTGGAAACAATTTGATCTTTGAGAATTCTTCAGTGGACAGCCTCAATCTGCCACAGATCTCACATTCTGGACTCCCACACTTTCTTACTTCAAAGAAGTAGTTACGTTGACGGCAGCAATGAGTTAAAAATTGGTTTAACCTTGGTGTCAAACATTTTAGATTAATTTTTTCACTATAGCTTAAGTTAAACTCAGAGTCTAATTTATTTAAACAACTCCACACTTCGGTTTGAAGATCTTTAGAAGCAGACTGAGTAACATTAAACTTCTTGTCTTTTAACTGTAATCTTTCAGTTATTTTACTCAAAAGTATTTTAACAGGCTCTATTGAGTCCAATAAATCTTCACAAAGATTATTCTTTTCTGCAATTATTCTAATTTTTGCAATACTATTGTAGCTCTTTATAGCTTTTTCGTTACTGTCAACCATTATATTACGTGCAACACCAACCGATTGAAGAGCCATATTCAAGATTGACATGACCCGTTCTGCAGGATTTCTATATGAATGGTAAGGAGCAGTGCGAGCAGCACACAAGTAGTCAAGATCAAGAAATAAAAAAAGGGAAATCATAGATAGCTTAACACTCATGTAGGTCACTCTGTCGTCTGGACCACCATCAGAATAGATAAACAAAACTGGTTTTATTTTAGCAGTTTCAGATATAATATTTGCTAATTCAGCCGCGTGTCTAATTGGAGAAGAAGGCTCAAATGCACTGTCTTTATATGTCACATTTACTTGGCCATCATACCAAGACTCAGATATTTTTTATGGTATATCGACAACTAGTGAAACAGATGGAATCATACTGAACCGTGTGAAGTCATGATCACTAACCTGAAACAACGTTTTTCCCTGAACAAGCACCTGGCGACCTCGCTCAACTGATGCTACTGGAAATGAAGGTTCTCCTACTTTAATCCGATGCTTGTCATCAGCACAAACTAGTATCGATACATCCCTTGTTTTCAAAGCAAACTCACGTTGATAGCGAAAAATACAAGCTGCATAATGAGAATCAGGGTGTTGTTTACGCCATTGTCTTTGCTGTACCATTCTCTTCACATTCAAAATCCCTGTGTATCTCTGTGAAGTTTTTGTTTCTTTTCTAGCTGGCATAAATTGCAATTGGATATATGATTTGGATGGAATAGGGGTATCATCAGATAGTTTGGCTGCAACTTGATCACGGAAATCTCTAACTGAAACTGCTTTTGTTATATGTACAACTTGTGAATGTCGCCTATCATCTACAGCAGTTCCAATGTCTTCTTCAAGAAATTCTTTTGCTTTAGCCCAAAAAGTATCAAATTGGGTATGTCTACCAGCATAAAGTTCACGAAAATCGTATATAAGATCTGGATCTTCAAGTTCAAAAAATAGATCTACTCTGTTATCAACTTCAGCTTGGGATAATGTGTCAGCAGCTGAAACATCACCAGCTAGATCTTTGTACATATGTCTTAAAACACTTTTCTTAACAGAGGGAGTAATTAGACCGTATTTTTCAAAAGCAGCCTTCCGCATAGCTCTTGAGTGATACTTCGGAATTTGTAACTTAATTGATTCAATTAAGGGTTGAATAGAATGCAGAGCAGAATTAATATCTAGAGCAGATGTATGCCAAATCCATTGTAGGTTACACAAGTTACTTCCTGGAGAATAAGTTACTAATATTGTAGGTACTGTTAGTCCTTTTTTTACTTCTTCAATATACTCATATCTTTGTCGGCGATCATTTGATAAAAGGTCTAATTCTTCTAGTAAATAGATTTTATCAATTTCTCCACTGTTTACTATATATGACAGATCAGTGATATCTTCAGATGGTGTGAGTCGTGCTGGAATGTACATTATATTTAGTGAGTTGCTTATACATCGGACTTGTTCATTTGTATGATGATTTATAAAAACTTGGCTTCTTTTGGATTTTATAATATTGCAGTATTTTTGAAGCCCTTGAGCCAGCATCTCAACCTCTTGCTTAAATGGTTTCCATTCTGGATGATTCCAAAAACCAGATTGAAGATTACCAAACAATCGTTGAGAATGTGAACTTAAATTATCTACAGAGAGTGATGACACTTGTCTTTTTTTATGCTTAAATCTTTCGGGTTTATTGAAATTAGTAAATTGATAGAATACTTTTGGTATTCCACAATACCGCTCAGCAAACTTTTCATAATGACCATCAATATACCATAACACATCTGTTAGTATACTAATTGTGCTCAAACCCATATTTGAACTTATTTCTGAAGATGTCCATTTAAATTCACTATTTTCGATGAATTTTATCAATGCATTGAACAACTCATCTTTTTTATTGCGTGGAATTTTAAGTTCTGGAATTGTTTTTGTTGAAATGCATTTTTGAGCTTCAACCATCACAAAAGCATTTGTTCTATTTGTATCTGTAAAACTGCTTTCACCTTCATTTAAAGTTGTTTTATTTATGTAAAATTTTACAAAATGACCAAATATAGCAACAAGTTGTTTAACTTTCATTCCTATAGAGAAAAAAATTAATACTTTTTTGTTATTTGTGCTATTACCATTTAATAGTTTTCACATATATAATTATTGTTTATCTAATAGACACACACACACACACAGACACACACACACACACACACATTGTGTGTGTGTGTGTGTTTAGACAAATAAACCACAAATAATAAATATGAAAAACAAAACAATAATTCAAAATTCTCACTATTAAAATTGACTTACGGAAACCATCAACAGAGTAGAGGTTTTCTGGAGATATTCCTACTTTGCACCTTTCCAGAAAATAGTCGGATAAATGCAGATTCATTTCTTCGGAAGAGCTTAAAACCATATCATACAACCCTTGAACAGTTAATTGTTCATCTTCTACACAAAATATTTTCCAACATACAATTGTTTCTTCACAGTTGGAGTCACAGATGCAGCAATTCACAAGAGTATTTTCATTTCCTGCCATCCGCTTAACTTTTACATTCGAAGTTTTTCAAAATAATGGAAAAAATACGCAAAAAACACATAATGGACAAAATCGTATTATTTTAAAACATGAGGCGGGCGGGGATGGGAAACAACTATGCAATTCATAGCGGCCTAAGGAGTAATGTCGCAAATTAATTTAATGAATAGTGTCGAAAATAGAAAAATTTGCTGAAGTCTTTTAAAAAAAGAAGGCTTAAGAAAAATATTATTATTTGGAAAAATTCATGGACGATAAATTGCTCTCGGAAACTCTAAAAGTTAATTCAATTAAAAAATATCATCATTTGTGCCTATGCCTTATATAGAATAAGAATTTCTATTTTTCTAAAAAGCCAAAAACCCCTATAACTTTAATTGCCTGTTATCTTCTAAAAAAATATTGTGGCGGCCCATGTGAACTATCAACGACAGATCCAAGCACTTTTAGACAGGTTATTCAGTATTATTACTATCTTATTCATATAAATCCAAATGCAGATATAGTATTAGTGACTCAGCAAATAAGCAATAATATAAAATCAATTCGGGCTACAGTAAACACAAGATTACCTCTTATAACTGACAAATCTATTAATAGGAAAGTTAAAGATCTTCTCGTACTTGTTAAGGATATTAATCGCAAGCACGGAAAAGCAAGCGCTAAAAGAAATCTTGATGCAAACTTGGACAAACCTTTTGATATTTTTGCGTGTTCCTGTTCATTAGATGTGTTTCCCTGTAGTGACAGAAAAGTTTCATGTAATAAAGAAAATTGCATCAAAGAACATATTGTATGCCTTTGTTCTCAAAGTAATAAAGTACCTCTGGAAGACAGAGCTTATCTTCGTGATCAGAGGAAAAAAATTTGTCCAAAAGGTGCATATCAACTTTCTTCTTGCCTTGATAAAGAACGACAAAAAATATCTCATAACCTAGGTAAAGAAGAATATTTCTTCATAGCACCAGTAAACTTAATTAAAGAAACAAGTGGTTTGACCAATACGGAGGTAAATATTTAAAAATACATGAAATATTTGTAACAGATAAAACAAAAAGCATTTTATTTTATTAACTCTTTTTAGGATGAAGGTGAATGAAAACCAGTAAATAATTCTATTGGAAAATACAACTTAGTTAAACTTCCAAGATTTGCAATGGAATTAGTCAGAAATGAGTGTTCGTCAAACGTAGGTGCAGTCCTTGCAAATGCTTTACTACATGACATAAAACATCTCTTGAAAAATGACGTTGATATTAAAGATATTTTGATTGAAAAATGCAAGTTAGATAGGGCCAAGTCAAAAGTAAAAATTGTTAGTGAAGAGGTGGACTCAGAACAAAAAAACAGCTAATTTGTCTTGGGGTTGACAGCAAGCTCGATCAAATAACTAAAACAAGTATAGTAATAAACTTACCTCAAGGAGAAGTACTAAAGAAATGCATTGAATTTGAACATCAACTCACATTTACTTATGAAGATGGAAAATCGAGTGGAAATTATTTGACTCATAGGACGATTCCTGTCACCGGTACTACAGGTTTAGTTCTTGCTACCGAAACGTTTAGTGTTTTACAAGAACTTAACAGTTTGGAAAGTATGCAAGCTGTTCTTCTTGATAATACTGCTACCAATACTGGACCAATAAGTGGCTTAGTGGTAAAACTAGAAGAGTTTTTAAAAAGAAAACTACATCTAATTGGATGCGCATTACATCAAAATGAACTTCCGTTACGAGCTCTTTTTGTAAAACTTGATAGTGACACAACTGGGCCAAGAAGTTTTAGTGGTCTACTTTGCAAAAGATGTGCTGAAAATATTCAGGATAGAAATCAAGTTTTGTTTAATCGTGTTGAAAACCCAATTGTAGATGGATATATTCCAGAAGAAATACTAGTAGACCTAAGTTGCGATCAAAGACTTTTATTCGAATATTGCAAAGGAATAGGCTTTAGTAAAGTTTCTGATAAATGGGCCGCCTATAAAATTGGACCGCTTAACCATGCAAGGTGGTAAAGTCTAGCTATTTGCCTTCTCTGTTTATATACTAGAGACAATCAACCAACTGTTTCTTTAAAAAAACTTGTATGTTTTATTGTTCAGGTTTACGTTCCAGCGTAAATCGATATAAAAAAATCTTCAAAATTTCACAAATCCCCGCGCCTTATTTTTTCTATTATCACTAGAATAAATAATCTCCCTTTTGATGATGTTAAACATATTGTTTAAAAAAACATTAAAAACAATGCATTGTGCCTAAAACCTAAAAATATTCTTTATGCCATGTTAAAAGATAATGACAGCAAGTTACGAAACTTTGGTTTTCAAATCCTAATGGGTCTAAAGCAAAGGTATTTTTTTATAGTAAACTGAAATAAAGTTTTGAAAAAAAATGATACATTAAATGTGGTAATTGGATTTGATTTATATTTATAGAGTAAACAACGAAAGTTTGGAAAAAAATTCCAGAAATTAATTTTAATGCTAATCATTGGTATGAGTTGGTAAATATCAACATTACTAAATTTACGGAGCTCCCAACAACACAACATTTTTCAATTGAGGAAATCCAATATGCGATTGACAATAATGTTAAACCTGAAATCCACGACTTTCCATCTCATTCCCAGAGTGTTGAGCAAACCGTAAAACTTGTGTCGAACGCATCCCAATATGTTTATGAATTCGAGAATTGACACAGCTGCATTTTAACTAAACTACTTAGCAGGAAGATGCGTAAACCGTATATTTCAAAAGGGCATTATTCCCATTCTTATGATGATATTTTTTAATTGAAAATATTTTCCTAAAGTATATATATCCATAGCCAAAATGTTTTAAATTGTGAAAACAATGTTTATTTTGATATTCTTATGTAAATATAAGAATAAAAGTTTCACTATTTAAATCTTCAAATAGTTAACAAGTTGCTATAAATTTAGCTTAATTGTTATAAACTATTATAAACTTAAATCATACAGCAAAGCAAATAGTATTGAAAAACATTTAAATATGAACATAGTTAAAACGTCAAGTTTTGCATATAACGCTTTTTAAGGTAATTTTTTACATAATCCAACAAATCTTATAAATTAAATTCGCAAGCGATTCTTCATCCAAAATCTCTCAAATTTTGAGAGTAATCATATTTTAACTGTCTTCAACTACTGAAATATTACGCAATATGCGGAATTAAAATCGACCTACCCTAACATACATACATACATACATACATACATACATACATACATACATACATACATACATACATACATACATACATACATACATACATACATACATACATACATTCATACATGCATGCATACATACAAAATGCTAGGTGATCGCAAAGTATATTTTACCTCAAAATACATTTTTATATGAGGAGTATAAATCTAAAACAAAAGCCTTTAACTTAATGAGTTATCTTCTGATAATTCAGGAGATAACTCATTAAAAAAATTGTAATTATCCGTTGATACTCAAAAATATTTCAATGAGGCTATTGTGCTAGGAATCTTATTCGCAAGTTTTGAAACAATTTTGATAAAGAATTTCTGGGTGCGGATTCACAAAACATTTGTGAGCGTAAATTTTAGCGTAAGTTTGGCGTAAGTTCTAAACTTAATAATTCTAGTATTCACAAAACTTGCGCAGTTGCTAAGCACAAAAATTGCAATATATATTTCGTAAGTTTGATTCTTAAATTATGGTATTCGCAAAACATCTTAAGAAGTTATGGTATTCACAAAACATCTTAAGAAGTTATGGTATTCACAAAACATCTTAAGAAAATGCTCAGCTAGATTTAAGCAAGAAAAGTTATGTTAGGTAGGAGCTACCTTAACTTTAGCGTAACTTTAAAATATCACATATATTGATTTTTTTTGTTAAAATTTGTGATAAGATTTTTTAAAATTTATAATAAATAAGTTATAGTGTATATGATAAACATAGTGTATATAATTATATATGTCCCTATAGTGTATATGTCCCTATAAAATATAGAACAAATTATAGTATAATTTATACTATAACTTGAAGGGACATACACACTATATTTATCAAAAATTCTAAAAAATCCTTTCACAAAATTTAACAAAAAAAATTGATCTATAATATGTAGGTTGTACTTTTCGTCATAGTTTAATAAAAAGTATTTGTTTATTTTATAACTACTTCCTTTTGCAGTAAGAATAACATACTTTGTTAAAATGTTATGAACTAATTAGCCTATAGTGTCATTTTGCAGAAGTAACTACATACTGAGATGTTGTGTACTATTTAGTCTACATATTTTGACAATTTATTAAAAACACAAACTATTTGTTATGTAATTTTGTTTGTAATTCTAACAGTATAAGTATAAAAAAATACAGAAATTTTATGCTAATTCTAAAAAATTTCTATTAGAATAATGTTTTTTTGTGTGTGCCTACAAATAATTAAGCTGTAAATAGGTGCTACTAAATTTTCAGTCTGATAGGAAAATATAATATTCCCAATATTAAGCTCAATAAATTTATGTTTATTAAAAAATAAATTCAAGTAGTTATATGTTTAATAAATATATTTATAATTTATAGCTTGGAAAATTAAATTAATAAGAATTTTATTATAAATATTGTCAGATAATTAAGTTTAATATTAGCTTTTTAACATGACTTTTGAACGTAATTCATTGTGTCTATGTATTAGGGTTGCCAGATATTCTATTTGTTAGACTGGGACATTACAACGGAGGACGAAACCCCGAAAAAAATTTTGTCTATGAGACTATGAATATATTTAATATTCTATTACTTTTTCTTCTTCGTGACGTAACGGTATTTTTGGCTACTGGCAGCCGCATCAAGTACTTTCTGATCTTTGAGAACAAAGTCATAGAACTCAGTACACAATTTAGAAAAATTCACTGAAACTTGGAGCTCTGCGCTCACAACTTCCACATTCCACAACTATTACTTTCCAACCTCCACTTGCTATACATGAGTGAGAAGATTCTTTTACAAAATACATTACTTGCCCGGATAGACAACACATAGGAAACAATTTTTAGTAAATTTACTGGAACAAGTTTTTCAACACAACTA